CCAAGCTAAGCAACGCTCGGTTGGGTTAGTACTTGGATGGGTGCCCGCTTAGTCACACCCATCGGCGTGTAGACTGCCGCCGTCAGGCACGGGTGCGGAGAGCTGGTGTGTTCACGGAGTCAGCGTGACTGATGAACACAGCAGAATCCCCGCATTACCGGCCAGCTGCGCTACTGAGGTTTTACATGGTTTCCCTCAGTACACGCGCAGTACAGAAAGTCGGCTCATGCTACCGCAAAAATAATGAGAGGATAGTAGGAGAGGCTAATGAGAGGATAGTAAGAGAGGCTAAAGGCTAAGACGAAGGGGCGCCTATCAAACCATGGTAACAATGGTAATAGGAAAAGGAAAAATGTAAAAATAAAAAAAAAACTAAAGTTTTTCAAGGGGTTTCGAGCGAGATTTTGGGGGAGCGGATTTTTGCCCCGTCTATGCCTATTATCAGGTAGCTCATCAGGTAGGGGCCCTCTCCGGAGAGGAATTGGGGATCTTCTAACGAAACTAACTAATCCTAATTTCTCTGTAACTATAACAATACCTAAATCTTAATTTGCTAAACCGTAAAGCTCTTGGCAATCCATGCAAGCGAGAGAGCTACGTTCGCTCGCATGGCCTTCCACCCGTACTAAACTGAAGATTACCCCAACCCTCTCACAACCCGTGGAGCGTAGGCGTCTCAACCTAACCTATGGGTTCTCCTATCCAATTAACCAAAAAGGGTTCCAGGAACTACCAGAAGCACAGTATATCGGCCAATTTTCCTCGATGGTCCCCGACCCCTAACCCGATTTCGCGCAGACAATTCTCATTTATTGTTAGGGGGGTTTTTAGGGCAAATTTCAACTATTTTCTAATCCATAACTATAACTGAATTTTTATAAGGGTTCATCTAAACTGTAGGGATTTAACTGCTGTCTTTACTTACTACTTTAATGATTATCTTAGCGCAGCGAGCCTGGCGAAATTAGAGAAGGTAGCAGGTAGCTGTCTCCGAGAGGAGATTAGGTAGCAGGTAGCTAGTTAATCGGGGATTATTCAGATAACTTTTCCCGAATTTTATTTAGGTAGCAGGTAGCTTTCATGGCGGGATTCAGGTAGCTATTTGCCAAGCCCGAGGATTTATGTGGACAATTTTTTTCCGGAGGTTTTTTGTTAGCAGGTAGCTAATAGATGTGGGTCCCGGGATCCATGTTGGTCGGGTATTTATTAATTTTTCGCGGTTCTCTCTCGCCCTTAATCTAGCTAGTTACCCTACGTGAATACAGGTGAAGGATTCGCCTGGAATTTCGTCACAAGCATCACTCCTTTACTCAACCACCTAACTTCGGTATAATAAACTAAATTTCGCGCGTCTAATTCATTTACTTTTTTAAATTCTTCCTAAAGTCGCTTGGCCAGCGGTTTCGCCAGAATTGAGTTCACAATTTTGACCACTAAATTCAAAACCGCGTCGATAGACATTTTTTTCATGCAGAGAGCTAATCTATGTAACATGCAATGAAATTGATTTAAACAATGGGAAATTACCGCACCGGGTGAGAAAACCTTTCAACTTTACGGTCAAATTTGCAGCCCCGTCGGTTGCAATGGAAACTAATTTTTGTAACGGTAATTTCATCAGAATGAGTTCATCTTTGAATGCTGTGTAAATTTCTTCTCCCGACGCGTGTTTTTTAATCGGAAAAAGTGTCAGCATTTCTCCTACAATAGACATATCCGGTAACGAAAACGAACGAAAACTATTATTTGCGCATGGCCGGCGGTATCTGTTGACTCATCTAATTGCACCGAAAAATGATGACACTGAGTAATGTCATCAAGCAATTGCTCACGAAGATTGGAACTGATAGATTCTACCCTGCGTGCGATTGTTCGTGACGATAGAGAAACTTCGCGGACAAACTTATTCACGCGATCTTCAATTTCTGTTTCTCCAAATAAAATATTAATAACATCTGTTAAAATTTCTTTAAAATCTTCCTCGTCGGAAAATGATCTTTTCTGTTTGATCAAACGATATGCGGTGAGAACAGAGATGTGTGCACTCGTCGTTGCATCATCATTTATCAATGGTTTTTTCGGTGGAATGGTGATTTGACACTGACTTTTTAATGACGTGATTTTATTTTTACGGGACTGTGTGTGAAGCGGAAATTTCGCGTCGAAATCTGGATGGATTATTTTAAAATGTCTACTAATATTGAAGCTTTTCAGGTTGCCGAAGTGTTGGGCGCACAGAAAACAAATAATCGCGTCACCGATTTTACTACACGTGTATAAATGTTCCCACTCGATTTGATATTTATCGGACCACGTGTCTTGTGCTGGAGACTCGAGATTGGCAAAAGTTTATGACGTGCAATCATGATTATTTTTCGGTATTTCATCAGAACCCGAGCCCGTGGTGGCTTTCAAAAACCGGATCTCATTCTGGCGCGCTAATGAATGTAATCGAAAATTTTCGTTATACTCAGCGTGTTGTTCGAAATAGTGCCTTTGGAGATTTGAAGTTTGCAAGCAACGGAACTGCTGCGAAATGGCGATCTCACCAAATTTTGAGCACGTGCCAAGTTCTAATTGAAATTCGTTCCAATTTGACATTGCTCGGGTGCATTGTTATTAGTCCAATTCTAATATGTGGATTTCCAAGAAAGAAACTTTCAATATATTATAGTGCATCATAAAATAAGTCCAATTCCAACATTTAGATTCCCAGCAAATCCACCTTTAGTATATGACAGGGCATCATAAAAACCGCTTTTTCCATTGAGCAATACCATTCATCGAAAATCTCGGGCATATTTGTCATTCATTATGGGCTATCTCAGTTCTGTGCATTGCTAGTTTCTTCTCAGAATTCTTATTTTTATATCTGTCTATACTTATTGATTTCCTCCGCAAGGACTGTCACAACCATTGTTCATAATATAATAATTAAATCGTAAAATAATTCGTGGACAAATAGTGGTATAAGACTTACACCACTATTCATCCACGAATTGTTGGCTTCATATTATTGGGTACAGTTACCGCTCCAACTCCGGAATGGATAAGTATTTTATTTTATTTGTTTCATTGCTGCAAATATCGTCTGGAGATAAAATAATTGTCAAGGCAGATTCCTCATCATGAAAACATCGAACCAATAATTTTTCCTCATATTGCTGCCTATTTCGAAAAAAAAAAATTATATTTATAATTCAAATTGATGGAAAATCAAAATTCTCACTCGATCGCACGGTGGCCCTCTGCCGCTATCGGTCGAACCAGAGCTCAAGCAGAGAGAGATATCGAATTAGAGCAGGTAGTTTTGTTAAGTGGATGAGGCCCCTCTCCCAGCTGTGACTAACGAAGCTCGGGAGCCGTGTGAGCCTAATGAGCCCAGGTTGCCGGGCCCTGCTCTACAATAACTCTCTCCAATTAATTAAGTTATCAAATTAACTTGATCAACACATTTTCTGTCATACTTTCTGTCTGGAATTTACGCTAAAAATGAATATCATAATATCGCTTAGTCATTAAGAGGAAAGTAACGAGATACCCTAAGCGCGAAACGTACGGACAGTCCTGAATTTGACTCTTGATGAACATAAAAATTACAATGAGGAAAGCCAATCTTGATGATCAACATCGGGATCATCTCCCGAATGTGGGAACCATTCTCATGATTCCCCTGCAGAAAGAACACTCAACCATATCTTCGGACTGAAGATAATAAAAGCCAGCTCTGGCAAATTGTAACAGCAGCAGTAGTTGGCCAATTTTGAAAAAAGTCAAGTTTTCGTGCAAAGCTCCCATACCCAATTGTGGCATTTTCACTTTGTACAATTGTTGGGGCCCTAGATGCTTGATCAGCATTACCATGTGCATTCTCTTGTGGTAACTGTGAGGACGAAGTTGGCTGTGACGTGATGTTCTCAAGGGACTCAACAATTGGAACATTACAAGTACAAGCTGGATCCCTGACAATTTTCACTGAGCAACCCCGAATTCCCCAATAATTATCTCCTCCCAGGGTAAATCTCCGGAAAACTTATAATAATTAAATAACAAGGAAAATTATTGCATTAAAGTCTACCCTGCCACTCTCATAACAAAATTTCATATAAAAAAATTGAATCTAACAAGGTAAACAAGGCGACAAGCGAATTCTCAATCAACGACGACGGGTGATCATCGAAATAAATCTAAATGTTCCATAGGCAATAAATAAAGTACATCCACGAAATGCATGTTAGAGGTGTGCCACCCCCCCCCCCCCATTTCTAAATTCTGGAAGTACGAATTTTAGTAATTAATGCACGAAATAAACAGAAGCTCTGATAAAAATTCAACAGTTAATTCATGGAAACATAATAGAATAATCATGTGTCAATAGTTAACAGGAAGAATGATCATATCGTATTTTCAATATTTCTCCTTTCAGTATCTTCTACACGTTTTTTCAAAAATAGCAGTAATGTTAATTCTCAAGTTTTAAAGAAAATACTGAGTGGGGAAAAAAAATATGCGTAATCCCCCTTTTGTTTTTTTCTTGTTCAAATAAAAAAATGGTAAAAGTTGAAACTCACTTACTTAATCATTAAATAAGGAAAACCAGAAAGAGTTTATAACAATTTATTAAGGTTCATAAAAAACGAAAGAGGAGTAGAGTTATCGATATCAGTACAAAAAAAAGCGTCACAGTATTCACACCACGTTCTTCCGCGCTGGGCCGCTATCGCGCGAAACCTGACACCCCCGCATTCCACCGGGATGACTGGTCCGACGTCACTCAAATTGCTCAACATAGCCCAGGCGATGATTTAAAATCAACCTGGCTGCAGTTGAGAAATGAATAAAGTGCCTCCGCACATATGAAGCCAGATGGGGGCGACCCACGCTAGAAAGGTAGCGCGCATAACGCTCCCACACTGAGAAAAAAATTTTCTTTAGCCAAGAATATTTACTAACCACAAGAAAATATATTTGGCATTAGTAAGTCTTGTGGGAGTATTTACACAGTGATCCCCAGATTTACTAGTAGGAAGAAAATATTCTTGGCAAAAATAATTTTTTTTTTCAGTGCAATCTAGCCGCAGCTCCTGGAAATAGAAAAAGAAAGGTCGTAAAACAAAGGGAAAAAGGAATAACACCAAGAGGGGGGGGGGGGGGGGATTAATTGGAACAAAAGAAAACTCACCCGATCAAACGTAATGGCACCTTCGTTGCAGAATAGCAGGAAGGTCCTCACCAATAGGTAATCCGCTCCCATGTCCTGAGCGATCTCCCGCTCAGTTTCCTCCGGCGTAGGCACCTGGAAATTTTTTTTTTTAATTAAACACTTCACCAAAACGACGAACTGAAGCACAAAGAAACCACAAAAACTACCTCCACACTCCGAATAGGTCTCCCTTCAATTGTCAAATCGTCGGGAAACATGTGGAAGGCGTGACGTTTTAAATCAAATGAAGCGTCTATATCGTGACAGACGGGAAACCGGAAAAAAAAGGGGGAGCCAAGAAGGGAAACGCTGTACGCACGGGCGACGCGCGAACCCATGCGCCAGCGGCGGCCACGGCAAGAACTCGCGGCCGAAACTAATGAAGGAATACGGCGTTAGATGGCGACGCGACAGTTAGGAAGCGAATTGGATTTATTGTTATATAGTAAAATTTTGACTATTTCGACGTAAAATTAATAGTTAGTAAGCGGAAAAAAATTTAATTACCCTATTTTTAATTACAAAATCAATAAAAATCTTAAAACAAAAAAAAAAAGATTTATGAAAGCGATTAAATGAATTAAACTTGATATTTATTAATTGAAATAAAAATAGCGGACCCTTTAAAAAATGGTAAGAAATATTTTTTATTGTATTTTAAAACAGCCAAACGTAAAAAAAAGGAGAAAAAAAAGAACACGACGTACATAACGGTGGGAAAAGTTGTGTTTTTTTTTATCTTTTAATTTTCAAATACTAAATTTTGAAATTTTTATTTTTAATATCAGATAAACCATTTATTCGCCCCTACACACCACTCGCGAAAGTACAGCAAAGTAATAAATTACGGGTACTTACCGTAATATTACGAAAGCCATAAAAAAAAGGGGGGAAACAATCACTGGCTTTATTAGTTCTCATTGTTTTTATTTTATCCCTCTTTTAACACAACGGACGAAGAAAAAAAAAAGAAAATCAGTGGAAAGGGGGCAAAAAACGGGACAAAAGCACCCCCCCCCCCCTCCCGTTGTCCCCAATCGTACCGAGAACCCGGACGAATAGGTGTCGTTTTTCCCCGATGAAAAATTTTCCATTTCAGAAAATGAAGAAAAGGAATCTTTGTATTTTTCAGGCTCACCGAGAGCCCGCAGGCGGGAGAAATTGAAATTTCGGAAAGTAGGGACGGAAACATGATAGTCTCGATGAAATACGCAGGAGTGCGGATTTACCACACCACGTGGAAAATGTTGACCCACATCGACGCGGGAGAATTTCTGGGGTTGAGACATGAATTCGTGACGCTGACGCGTCAAGCTGAGTGCGGTATGCTCAGACCTGAAGACATACTGCACCGTGGCCCCACAACTGGAGCTGACAATGATATCATGACAATGATGCATTAGATGAGGCCCACACACAGTTACGCGAATCACTATCGGAAGACGAAGACCGATCGAAAAGGGCAGTTCTGGGATTCATAGGCCAGATTAGTAAAATACTTTTTGGGACCGTGGATCAGGACGACGCGAATTACTATGACACGCGGATTGAAGCTCTTAAAAATAAGACAAGCGATACCTTAATGCTCATAGCGAATCAAATACACATCATCCGCTCGGGGTTCGAGAGGATACAAACAGAGGTACGCAGATTTGGGGAAACCGTGGAACTCCTCAACCAAACCATGCATCACGCGGTAGGGTACTTCGTTGATCGGCTAGAAAAGACCCCATATAATTAAACATTGGCCGGATTACTAAACACACTGGATGCCGAGATCGCTCAGTATGAGGTGGACATGCAAACCCTGATAAACTCCATCCTGTTCGCCAGGAAAGGACAGCTCCACCCTTCGATAGGAAAGAGCCTCATTAAGGCCGCTCTGGAAATCTCAGAGACCCAAAAAGGGGTAGAAATACCGGCCCGATTAGAACCTTCCCATATCACGAAACTCTTAAGACTCGCGGAACTCACGGGTAATTATCACAAAGACAAGATAGTGTTCATTTTAACATTTCCCATGGTAACCCTAACTCAATATACGTTATACAAACACATGGCCCTGCTCGTAAAAATCGCGAACTCAACATTGCCTAGCGGTGTGTTCATAATACCAAGCTATCCCTACACTGCAATCGCGGAAAGCCTGGATTCCTACATCAAGTTCGACGAGGAAGATCTAAAGCTATGCTGGAAGAGCTCTAGGGGCCTCATTTGTAAAGCCACGCGCCCCATTCGAGAGATCAACCGGAGCGAGGACTGCGAAATTCAAATTATTGTTAACCCCCGATTTAGGCAGTCCGACATATGTGACATTCGAGTCAAAATTATGAAGCAGACAATCTGGGAAAGGGTCGGGGATAGAAACACGTGGGTGTTCTCAGTATTAGACGAGGATGAATTGTGAATCAATTGCAAAGGGCGCGAACCGAGCACGAGGATCATCCGGGGCAGAGGCACCCTGACCCTACCTCAAACTGGCGAGGCCAAAGCGCCGGCAGCATGGAGCGAAATTTCTCGATAGAGCCATCCTCAATGTCTCGGCAGTACTTGAGGAGGCCATCCGCGGCTTGGGAGGGGAAGGCATTTCCGAGGTTTTAGCGGATGACGTACAGACCCGAAAGAGACAAGACGACCAAGGGGTTAAAAACATTGAGAGGGATAGCCTAGGACTCCAAGCCATATAAAAAGAGCTAGGGATCTGGCACAAAAGAGAGACGTGACGCGACGGTTCACGCGTGTCGAACACGGGCTGGGATATGCGGGAGTCGGACGGGGGGTTTTCTTGCTGATGGGCGGGATACTCATAAATGTTCAACCCGGTCAAGGATCATGGGCATATGTGGGGGACTTTGGACATTTCCAGGTACTGCCAGACGAGAGGGGACACAGCAGCGCCGGCGCCAGAAGAGACACCGCTCTCGCAGTCGATCCACCTCACCAGCCCGCCAAGACAAGGTGGTGAGGTATAGCGAGTTCCCCGTTAGAACTCATCGGTCAACATCCAGAGCAACCATCACGGAAGTCACCGAAGCTGAGCCCCCTACAAGACAGCTAATGCGGACCCAGTCACTTGGTGCAGATCGAGACTACATGATGGAGCAACTTCCTCCCGAAATGATGACGATTGTCCCATCCCCACCTCGGAGGACGGAGAGTAGATTCATAGCTAGACTCATTCCCGAACGTTGGAAACTGGTCGCCATGGCTTGGGGAAAACAGCCGCCAAAAGCGAACCACCCTGCGCTGGGGCGCCTCACTGGATGGTAGGTCCGGGCCAGACCTGCGCGGACGCCACAGAAAAGAGAGGCGGCAAGATAAAGAAAATAGGCCTATCCTGTATCACATCCCGAGACATAGGTGTGATCAAAGGATCCCAATAGGATCCTTAAGTGATCCTAAATTCATTTATTCCAGAGAAATCCCTCATATTGACGAAAATGATTTCAGTAGGATTAATATAAGGAGAGACTTTTGGTGGTTAAATGATACCGATAAATATATACCTGAATTGAAGTATCGGCAAGTTATTTATAAAAATTCTGATGAGTATCGCACCCTCGCCAGAAGTAGATTAAATAATCGATGTTTTAGGATGAATTTCAAACCTCCGTAAAAAACCATCCCCTAAAAGCCTCAGATTGATGTCACGCTCTCCTGAAATAGACATGAAATATGCCTTACCTAATAATTAATTAGTTGTACACTCACTTAACCTAAATATCACACATTTTTCACTAGTTGAAAAATGTTAGAACAACATCTCTCATCTTAACTTTTTTTCTTACCATAACCTGTAAGCCTGTTTTTTTCCACGCACTTAGAATCTTTTATATTTCTCCTTTTTCTTTTTTTTTGGGCTTAAACACTTGCAAACTTATACACTGTTTACTGTTTAATTTGTAAAACTCATCACCATTATATATATGTTTATCTAGATGTACACTTCACCACATACTGTTTCCTTTCGAGAGCCACTAGATGGCAATTAGAGGAATTATATAAGTCTCACTTAAATACTTTTTCCATTAATCTTTTTCTAGACTGGTTTGTATATATGTACATTTGTAAATATTTCTTGCTATTAATAAAAACTTGGTTAAACAAAAAAAAAAAAAAAAGAGAGGCGGCAGGCAAAGACTATCAACAGAAGCCAGGGCCGGTACACTGGATATCTCTTATCGTTGGCCATAAGCTATTCTTTTTTTTTCCTCATTATTATATTATTATACATTATTATACACATGTAACCTTGTATCCGTTATCATGTAAAGGTTCAGCCGTCAGGTTTCTCTTAAATTTTTACCAACGCTTTTGTTTTTAATTATTGTTATGTACGGGCAAGGAAACTCCCATTTATGATTGGTTCTATTATACGGGAGTACTAATAAATTTAGCAGGGGAGTGTGACGTAAGGAGCTTGACTCACGTCGATAATTTTATTATTATCAAATAAACGAACCGGATCCGATGAGAGATGGATCCAGTTCATGATAGCTTGGCTAAACAGTCTCACGGTGATTACGGAGTCCAGCTTGGTCGAAAGGATTTTCTGACGTTGCTGGAACGTCGTCATCAACGACGTAGACAGATTTTTAACAAAGAACACCCGTGAGAATGCTTAGCTAAGCATTGATGGGCTGAAGCCTCTCTGGGCCTCTCAGCGGAGCAGAGCAAAACTAGACGCGAAGTAGAATGGTCGTGTCCATGGCCCAAGCACTTAATCATTATTGACAAATTGGGAAGTGGTCCGACTATCACGCGTATAACTTATAGAACCGCGCACGCTGAACCCGCTGGGTGATACAGTGTATACACCTCGTCATTTTTCACAATACAATTCTACACATTTTAACTCTGGTGTCAGTGAATTCACACCAGAACCACCCATCCCGAATCCCTACCAAGCGAACTCCCCGTGAGCTCAACCCGCAGCAGCTAGCCAACGAGAGGGTTAGTTTGGCGACCCGGAGTTCATCCGACGAGTGTTGCTCAGGGGCTATTCAGTGGCCCAGCAACAATAAAGGGAAATTAAATTGGTGGCAACGCAGACTCCAAACGTCACACTTGCGTTCCATTATTTCATTATTTTTAATTTATAAGGTTAAAATGTTCAACTCAAAGAATTGTGAAATACTATTGTTTATGTATCATCTATACTTTGAAAACTTAGCATTATTATTCCGTAAAAATATCTACGCATATATATTGAATAAACAACATTCTGAAATGTTCGTCA